TTTATTTGTATGTTAGATACAATATATTGCTTTTCTAGGATTTATTTTTTTTTGTCTAACCCTTTTTTTACTTGAGTACTTGTGAGCTTAGTGAAATGTTAACTCTTTCTTCTTTTTATATAATTTATAGAGAAAAATATAAAAAATTCCTTTTATCTTTTTCATATTATTGTCTTGATTTTTTATCTCAGTTTGTTTCCACTTTACTAGAATAATTTTTTAAAGTGTTCTCAATTATAATGTCTTTGATGTTTATGGCATAATTCACAAGTGACTAATTTGTTGTTTATGTTAATAGCACAATACTTTGTTTTTCTTTTGATACTTTATACGCATGTTGCTTTTAGATAGTTTATACTTATTAAACAAAGCTAAAAACTCTTAATTAAATTAATTAGATAAAAATACTTATTAATTTCTTTTTATAAGAAAGAAAAATTAATAAGTATTTTTATCTTAGTTGACGCTCAAGCCATAATTTCTCATTCCACACTATGTACTTCTTTTTATAAATACTTATTAATGAAATTTTATTATTTTTTTCATATTAGTAGACGTAGATGATATACGATAATAATTTTTAATGATGATAGTGTTATGAAAAATTAAAGAAAAAAATAAAAAATAAAATTTGTAAAATTTAAAAACTAAAATATTTAGTATTAGCAATTTTAAAGGTTAAAATAAAAAAAGTATGTATTACACCGTATATAATATTATTTTTATCACATATTTAATCATACGTGTTAATTAAAGTTAAAAAGCTAACATAAAAAATTATAAAATCTGAGTAAACCGTGTAATGCTAACGGGATGGTAAACTAAATTAAGAGTATAGTGAAACCTAAATACTCGGTCATGCATACATAAACATAATAGCATCATCGTACACGTTCTCACTCCTTCATTTGTCATTCTTGACGGTGCTGCTGTCTGCTTCCTTGTCTGGTTTCTCAGTCTAATATTAATATTCTTCCACACAACAGAAGCAACCCAACAATTAATGACCTTATAAAGAAGTCCTCGCTGACTCTATTGAATTTTGGTGTGTTTCTTGTGTTTGGTTTGTGAAGCGGTGAAACACGTAGCTACCTCAACGAATCCTATGTTGTAAGTGAATTACAATCGCTATAAACCTCTCAGTACATTGATTTGGTCACACGGAAGAACATGAATCACCAATTTACATTTATGCTAGCCAATTGCTCGCCACCGATTTAAAAAATAATAAATAATATTTTTATAAATTTTACTAACACCAATTTTTTAGACTGAGTTTAAATATTTATAAATAAATTTTTTTATGAAAAAAAAATATAATTATTATATTAAAGTTATAAAAATATAATAATATTTCTATTTTTTTAATAAAATTTTATTTTAATTAAAAATAAAATAAAAACAAGTAGAGTCTCTATTACGTTCTTAGTAAATTGGACGGTGTTAATAACTAATACGTCGTGCAATAATAGTAAAAAAATAATTTTAATTTTTTTGAAATTTTTTATAATTTTAATTTTTCTTCCTTGCTAAGCATAATCATTAGCTATCGAAAACTACCCATTAGAATTTGTCAAACCCAAGAGACTTGCACTAAAGAGTATTTGTCTAACTTCCAAATATAAATTTTCTAATTTCTAATTATTATTGATCCATATATATTTGAAGCACTAGTGGGCATTTAAAATATTAACTAACTCTAACTTTTCATAAAGCACTCCTTCTCCTCACCAATTATTATACTAAATAGAAGATAATCCTTTGTCTGTGTGTCGTGTGATGCTTGATGCAGTGAACAAAATGTTTCCACTAATTAAAACTTGTTATGGTTGAATTTGTGTTAATCATCTCTTACAAATCATTTTTGTCTCAAAGTACTTGGACCCACAGATTATCATCTCTATCCAAACTTACCTAATTTCTATTGCAAAGAAATTTTGGTAATTCTTGTTTTTTTCATATTGGGTTCTTTTACTTATTTTGTACAAGTTAATGTAAGGAATAAAGTTGCATAAAATATTATTAATATTAATGTATCCTAAGATTCCTAACATGATCTTTTACAAATTTTTTATTTTAAATCTTTAACTATTACCCTAAAGACAGTGATTTGTAAGACCTTAAGAAATATTAAGAGGTGAGTCAAGTGGATCAAGATAGGGTTGATTTGGTGGAACAAGATAGTCTCACATTTAGTAAGTTGTAAGTTCGAATCTTCACTCCTCTTTTAGGGTGAGGTAAATATAATATATATTCTTCTTGTCAAAAGTCTCGCTTCCTTATTCTTTAAGGACCTCTTCTCTGTGCTGTGGGACTGACCGAAAGCGTGTTCATGCTGGGTAGCTTCACAAGCTGAGAATACCTGGGATACAAATTAAGCTTTTCAGGTTCAGTGTGGCCCCCAACTCCCGAAACTCTCGGTTCATCAAACCGTTTTTCTTTTGATGGCATACTTCCTATGAATCTTCCGAGCTGACCGGCATATATATATATATATATATATAAATTAGTAAATATTTTAAAGATAATTTAATATTTACTTTTTATTTAATTCTTACGGTTTAAAATAATAAAATACTTATTAAGGAAGATACGTAAAAAGATATAAAAGGGCTAAAGTTATAAAAACCTGTTCACAAAAAGGAAAAAATCCCTCAAAGTTCAATATTTGTTTTCTTTTTGTCTGTGAAATAATATTTGTAAGATATTAAATTTATTGTGAAAGAAATGAAATAATAGAAAAGAAAGAGGAAAAGAAAATGTAATTAGTTTAGTAGCTTGTGTGTGTGTGTGTATATATATATATATATATATATATATATATTAGAATTTATATATATATATATATAATTTTTAAAAATAAAATTTAATATTTATGTAAAAAATTATTTTGACTTAATTCTATAACTATAAATATTATTTATGAAAATGATAAAAAAATTATTAATATTAAAAAAATTAAAATATAATTTTTAAATAATATTTTATAGCATAGTGTCAAAAAATATTTTAATCAAATGTCAATAATCAATATATATTAATAAAAAATAAGAGATAAGATTCTTAAAAATAAACTTTAAAATTAAAAATATTAAGATAATTTTTATAAATATAAAAATAAGTATTTCTAAAAAATCTAAAAATTATATAAGGTAATAAGAGAAAGATAAGTAACAATTTTAATCTCTAAAAATTTAAAATAAAATTAACAAAGATACATATAAAAAGTAAAATCATTTTAAGAAGAGAGAGTGTAACCCATCATTCATAATTTTAATTCTAAAATATATAAAAATAAAGGAAAAAGATTTTCTTACACTAGTGTAAGTCTAAAAAATTTTACATTAGATTTGAGTCTAGTGAAGTAATAAATTATAACCTGTTAGATTTAAGTTAAATAAAATACTCAAATTAAGTGTAAAAGTTTTTAGACTTACACCGGTGTAAGAAGATCCTACCCTATAAATGAATTATAAAGGAGAATAGATCTATAAATACTTCACTTTCTAAATAGGATACTCTTATTCATAATATAATATATAGAAGTTGATTAATTAATATTTAAAGTGTTTACTGTATAAGGTTGTGAATTTGATATCAAATGAGTAGAATATAAAGAATTAGAACACAATAATCATTTCATTATCTTCTTCCAATAGAATAAAGAAGAAAAAAAAAGTTCACCCAACACTGCAAATAGGAGAAAAAATAGGTGTATTTGAGAAAGCATTGCATTAAATTTTATTAGATTTTATCTTGTTTTAACAATGAAACTGAAATTTTAATGATGAAATATCATGAGCAGCTTAATTTGAATGATAAAACATATTTTTATTTTTACTTTATACAATTAGAACATCCCTGATTATGATCAAAAGAGTTGCTTAATTCTAAACTTAATAATTGTTAGGAGTTCTACCATAACACATCACTTTTTTCTACTTTAATAATTTTATTACTTAAGCATTTTTTTTCTTTCTAATAATGCAATTCTATAAAGTTTATAAAATTAGTCCCACAAATTATATCATACTTTTATATCTCATCAATATTTTTTTAAAAATTTTAACATACATTTATTAACTTATTTCTATTTTTAATTTTGTTACAATATTTAATATATTAAAAAGATAACAAATTTCTTTTAAATAGGTTTTTAGTGAAATAAATTTTTGAAATAATAAAAGCATAACCAATTTTTATTGTGGTTTCAACTGGCGCAAGCTTGGAATTGCACTTACCCAAAAAAACTTAACTTATTTGCCAATTCAATATTCTCGATACCAATGCTAAAAAGAAAAAGTGAAACAAAAACCTATCATTAAAGTTGTTCTCAAGCCACTTTCATTTTTAGGATTCCAATTATATAAAAGCCGTATAATAGATACTCACTAAAATTTTATTTTAACATTATTATAAAAAAGTTAACTTTAAAATTCCTTCTCACGTATGGTTCGTGTTGTTCTTCGCTACTAAACTCGCTCCACCATTCCATTAAGCAATGATAGCTTTTAGGGGTAATGGTTCCTTATTTTTTGTGTCACCTGTATCGCTCTAATGGTATAATTTATTAAGCTTCTCTTTCTTGTTGCTAAAAATAAAAAGCTACTATTGCTCGTTCAGAAACATAAGATGAGAAATTCTTTCAGAGTTTTATTTTGAGTAAAATTTTATTTTCAAATGTAGCAACCTGCATTAATTTGATAAATTAAATTGATAATAACAAAAATAAAAAGGAGTAAAGTAAAAGATAGTTGATCTTCGAAATTAAAAAAAAAAAGATTTACTCTAATAGAAAACTGTAAGAAAAACCTAGAATTTGTTGTCATTTATTTATACTCTATCAAAACTTAATTATATATTTTTTTAACCAATAATTATTTTTTTTGCTGGTATAGATCAAATACACCCTCCAACCGGCCTACTAAAGACTAACTCCTTCCCAAAAATAACGATCATCGAAGTGAATCTTGCCTCTCCCAACAAACACATCCTTTATCAATAGAGACTGGTGGAATATTAAATTAAAATATCGGAATATCATAGCTTTCTTTTATGGAAACAAGTTAATAAATGTGATATTGTTCCATTCATGATAACGGTACAATACTTACAAACCAAAAAATAAATTGAAAAACAAATTCCCAAGACAACGCTACATCCATCAGTTCTTCCACTGGAGTCCCAGGCTTTAAGCAAAAAGTTGTGCAACTTTTCCACTATCAATATGAATTGTTTTAAACTAGTATATCTCATCATCAGGGATATCAGGGTTCAAGAATTTCTTCGGGTCTTTACTTATTTCTTCATAATTCAGTGTTGATTTCACCCTTTCCGGTACTGGTTCAAGGGGAATTATGCTATCTCTATCGATTACATCATCAATGATTCCATATTCAACTGCTTCAATCGGAGACATGTATTTATCTCTGTCAATATCTTTCTGGACTTGCTCAAATGAGCGACCAGTGAATCCAGATATAATTCTTGTAACATTATTCTTGTTGTGCATAACCTCTTTTGCTTGAATTTCTACATCTAAAGCTTGTCCACTAGCTCCTCCAACAGGTTGATGAATCATAATTCTTGTGCTGGGCATAGCAAGACGCTTACCTTTGGTGCCACCACCAAGGATAATGGAAGCTGTTGATGCTACAATGCCCAGTGCAACTGTGGAAACATCAGCCCTCACAAGTTGTAAGACGTCATAGATAGCCATTGTAGCACTACATAACATTTGAACAAAATCAGCTTACATCATAGAAAAAAAATCAATGAGGAAAAAATTCAATAAGAAAATGCCATGCAGAGAAGAGGAATATTTATTAGTAATTAAAGTAAACATCGGAGAACCAGAGACCACACAGCATTAACAACCTATATATTAACTATAACTTAATCAAACATGAAAGAAAACAAATCTTTATTAAGTCCTCATCAACAATCAAGCCCCAAATAGTAGGTAAACAAGAATACCCAGTAGATGTTATTATAATGAAGGAAATATATCAGAGACCCATTCTGGCACAGTCTGAATTCACATTGCAGCTATATGGGAAGTCTCACTGCAGTCAATGATAGTTTGATTCCCACTTCTAACCATCCCCTTCCCATCCACCCACACCGCAAGACACAAATAGTAATATCCAATCTATATCGTGCTTAAGGCTTTGTTTAGAAGTTAGTATTTGGGGAAAAAAGAAGGGAAAAGGAAGACTAATTTGATGATAATCCTTGTTTGGGAGTTTTTAGATGAGAAGAGGTTTTATAAACCCTACTAAGCCCATGTTCCTAAGTTCCCCAATTTGGGATATTTTTTATTAACCCTCCTTCCTTCTCCCTTCTCCTCTTCTCCCATACCCTCCAAACCCTTTCCTTCTCTCTCCCTACAAACTCTCAAAGCCTAAAAGAATTAGGCTACAATTCTACTCTGGTCCCTAACTAACAAGCAATTTCTCTATTACATGATAGTCAAAACTTCTCCATCTACTCCCTAGAAGACATAAAGTAGCTTCATATTACGTGTCAATTTGGTAGTCAACAACTTGAGAGAATTGTCTGTGCACCATTATACATGAAAGGCCGTCATTAATTGACAGCAAGAATAAAGTTTCAGACAACTTTCTCGATTAACCCTGAGTTGTGCTGTTTTATTTATTTTGTGCTTCACTTAAAACAGCATAATTTTAATCACAAACCAAAAAACTGCATCTTCCACGGGGAAACATCTAGCATATTGATCAAGGCCGCAGTTAACAGTTCTGAGTCACATGTAAAAGTGCATGTGGACAGTCACTGAAGTTGTTGTCTAGTGACATGCTGAAAAGAGGAATGAAGCAGAATTTTATTCCAAGGACTAGATGGATTGAAGGATGCTGACAATTGGGGACTAAATTGAAGAACAATATCATTAGCTAGGGACCAAGATAAGATTTTCAACAACAGATTTCAACTAAATCATGCATGCCAGCAATAGAATGCCATATTCTCCCCTCTTCAATGTTGTCAAGATCAGGATCTTGATCATGAGATCACACAATCTTACAATCTTTCTCAGCCTCCATGATCTGAATCGCAAACAAGATCAGACTCCTCCAGGATCGCTTGGGACCACGATCTTTTCTGGTTAGACCGTGGGATCTACGATCAGATCCAATCTCAGTGTTCGGGTTAGATATAGTGACCCCGATTAAAAAACTTATTTCCCATTAATTCTTAACCCGCTTACACTTTTGGAACCCTATCTCATGCACAGTGACCACTTCCTTTCTCTTCTTTGCGTTTGTGCTTCTGAGTGAGTGGCGTCTTCATGTTTGTGCTTTTGCATGAGTGGCTCTGTATTGGGTGGTTCTGTGTGGCTGCATGGGTGGTTCTGCGTTCTTTGGGTGTGGGTGGTTCACTGTTCTGTGGGTGCTCTCTTGGTGGTCTGGAGGTGTTCTGTTTTGGTGCTAAACTTCATGCTCTACTGCTGTTTCAGTTTTTGGATCTTCCATTTGTCTTCTGTTTTGTGTTTTCTTATCGCTACATGGCTTCCAATACTAAGAATGAAGTTGGTGGCAGTAAAAAAGGGAAGGGGATTCAGTCAAGTGGAGCTGCAGAGAGTGGAATTGTTGGTAGAACTTTGAAATCAAAATCAAACAATGCTGCTGGAGCAAGAAATGATGTGGCATTAAATCATGATGTTTCTATTATTGGAGATGTTAGGAGAATTAAATGTAAATATTGTGAGAATGTAAATATTGGCAAAAACAAAGTAAAATGTTGGAGCTTGCATCTAATCATCTTCATCTTTGATGAAGCTTCTGACGTGACCAAACGTTTTCTGGTCGTTGTCTTCATCTCTGCTATAGTTTTTGACATGACCCAAATAAATTTCAGTGGCTGAACACTTTGTTTTCTATTTCCCTTCACTGTTTATTATTTATTTCCTTCTCTATTTTGTTCCAAATTTGTGTATTAATTTTATTTTTTTCAGCATATATACGTGTAACTTAATTTATTTTAACTATATTTAAAACTTCAGAATAGTAGTCATGCTGCTACCATTATAGCATTTTTGAGGTTGGCCGCTGCTATCTGGGATTGACTATTGTAGGAGAAACCGCATACCCTACAATGAGAATTACTGGGTTGTTGGAAAAGAAAAGAATTTTTATTCTTATAGATGCCAGGAGCACACATAATTTCATAGGTGAAAAGTTATGCAAGTAAGGGAAAGGAGTAATAAGGCAGGTTGAACCGGAGTTCATAACAGTGGCTAATGGAGGATCTACAAGGAAATTATAAGTGGAAGGAATCAATTGGCAGATGCAAGGCCACAATTTCACAACCGATGCTATAGTAATCCCTCTGGCAGGTTGTAACATGATTTTGGACATGCAATGGTTGCAGAAATTGAGGAGGGCTGCTCAAAATTAGTAATGGAATTTCGGAAAGGGAGAGATAAGGTAAAATTGTCCACAAATAAAGAAAAGAATAAGGTGATTGAGGAGTTTAAATTCAACAAGATCATGACAGAAGTGGGTACTGCATTTATGATGCAAGTTATACCTTACCATAATGGAGGGACATGTGCAATCGAAGGAGAAGAAATACAGCCTGACTCAGTTGAATTACAGCAGCTGTTATCAGGGTTTAATGAAGTCTTTGAGGAGTCAAAAACAACTCCTACCCTTCAAAGGCATTCATGATTATAAATTGTTCATAAAGAGAGGGCTCCAATCCCATAAGCATGCGACCATATTGGTACCTCCAGCTCAGAAGGTACGATTCAACCAAGTACTTCTCCTTTTGCTTTCCCAGTAGTATTAGTAAGAAAAAGGACAGGAGTTGGAGAATGTGTGTGAATTATTGTTGTTTAAACTAGATGAAAGTAAAACATCACTTCCCATTCTTTGATAGAAGAATTATTGGATGAATTTGGGCAAGCCAAGTGTTTTCAAAGCTCAATTTTAGATCTGAAGATGTGGAGAAAACAGCTTTCCAAACATGCCTGGCCAATATGAATATGTAGTCATGCCTTTTGGCTTGACTAATGCCCCCCTCAACATTTCAAGGAACCATGAATGTCATCTTTGAAAAGCAAAGGAGGAGATATGAGATAGTTTTCTTTGATGATGTTCTTGTTTATAGCAAGGATGAAGAATGTGGAAATTACAATAAATGGGGTAATCTTCTAAATAGGAAAACTTCGTAATTAGCAAGATTTTAAATATCAGTAAATTATGTATTTATTGTGCCTTATTTTAAAAATAGAGAGCTCCACTGTGTACTCAAAGTTCAAACAAACACTCATTCTATACCTTATCTTTTCTACTGCTCATTGGCATAAATTTAGAAACCACGTTTAGTTTCTGGTTTTGTCTCTAGTTGACTGTTTTTTTTGGCTGGCAATGTTCATTGTCAGTGTCCACTTTTTCCAGCAACTTTTCTGACCACCAACTAGTGGATTTGGATTGTTGTTGCCTGCCCAACCCATCCTCATTGAAACCCTAATGTTTCCCATAGCAATGCACCGTTTTTCTACTCCCTTGTTGCTTTTGCCTTGTGTAGCAGCATATCTAGCCGTTTCTCTAGTCGACATTCACATTGTCCATGATGTGCTCTCTCTAGATCTGCAGTTACATCACCCAATTGTGGGTCCCACACCACCTGTTTAGCACTTTGGGTTCTGTTCATAGCATAGTAGTCAAAAGCGGCAGCTATCACAGAGGAGAGGAGTGGCAGGTTGCCGCTATGAAGACGTTGTCCCATCACGTTTCAAAGTAGTGACTGTTGCACCATGAATCACAGCCAAAAACAGGGCAAATTGCAACCAGCATGGCCGCTATTTCATTTCTTAGGTCAAATCCCTATTTTACACCTCCCTTTCTGAATGTTGGGCAACTTTTAAGAGGTGCAATCTTGGGATTTCACCTCTCTTTCACTTTCATATCTTCTTCTCCCCTGTTGAGCCCTAAAATTTCTTCCCTTTCTGGTGCGACATGCTTTCAGTTCCTCTTGCTTCTTTGGTGCAACATCAAGAGCACCATTTCCGACCAACTTCTTGTCATCTTCTTCATCTCTAGTCTTCTCTTCATCTTTGGCAACATGTTTTAACATGACCAAGACATTTCTGGTCATCATCTTTGGCAAAGCATACAAAATGACCAGACATTTTCTAGTCCTCGTCTCCATCTTCACGGAAGTTTTTGACGTGATCCAAATATTTTTTTATTACTAAACCTATGTTTTCTATTTCCTTTTGCTCTTTATTATTTATTTCCTTCTCTGTTCCAAATTTGTGTATTAATTTTATATTTTTTGGCATATATACATGTGTAACTTCAAAATAGCGGTCATCTCGCCACCACTATCTCCACTATAGCATTTTGGAGGGAGGGAGGTCGTTCCATGCCGCTATCTAGGATTGACTACTATGGTTCATAGTTGCTTTTTCTCACCTCAACAATGCACATGACTACTTTGAACCCCCAAGGCTGAACTTCCCATATTTACCAACCACATCACTACTCTTCTCTCTATTGAGCAATTGGACAGTAACAATTATTTTGATTGGTTTTCTAACATTAATATTTATTTGTCAAGCAAAATTATGATGACCATCTCACCAATAAGGCTAATGCTATTGCTAAGACTGAGCCAATGTTATCAATGGTGGATGGCGGGTCTTGGCTAAGAGAAGAGAAAGAAGAAAAATGTAAATGTGAGAGAGGGAGAGAGTTGCTCATGGCTACGTGGAGAAGAAAGGAAAAAAAAATCCAATGGGTGGGCAAGAGAGAAAGCTCAGGGAGAAAAAGTGTTCTTTTGTAAATTTGTGATTTATGGAAAAAGGAAATAGATCCAATGGACCAAGTTTAATCCTTACACTTAAGATCAATGGTTCAAATTTAAAGTGAAAATCAAATTACTTAATGGAAAGTTGTAAAATCCAACATTCCAGATTCAATCCTTACAAAAGAAGATCAATGACCAGAATTTAAAGAGAATCTAGAAAAGTTGATGATGTGACATTGCATCATGGAGTTGGTGGGTAAAGATTACATCGGTGATGAATAGTAACATCAGAAGATTTTTCTCTATTCCCAATCCTAGTCTCAACTCAGATACTAATAAATATCTGCAGAATAATATTATTAAATATCTTCAGGTCTTAGAACACAACTATTTTTGTTGCAAATATATCTCTATTAGTATAATTCTATATCACACTAATTTATGAAACTGTTGAAATAAATTCCAAAAATTGAAATTCTCCTAAAAAATAATTTTATAAATACCCTTTTAAATTCCAAAAATATTTGTCAAACTGCAGGATTGTCCCTACAAGTATTAGGGCGATCTACCAAACAATCCTAAAATAGGCAAAATTGCCTCAAAATGACTCCAGATAGTCACTATATGTTCCAATCATCGTCAGTATAAATTATTCACACAAAACAAGCACTTTCTTTCTCAGAGTAATTGCTCAATTACTATTGAGCTTACGCTGATCAGGAGTTAATAGGCTAGATTAGGAGAGAAAGGGTGTTACATAAACAAGTAATAACTACAATGGAATCTCCTAAGTGCACCTTTGTCACTACCATTTTGCTAGGCTTAAATACTTATTGGGGATAGAAGTAGCTCAATCCAAACATAGCATTATAATTTATAAACGGAAGTATGTCATTAACATTCTAGAGGGGACAAGATTAATAAATTTCAAGCCTATGGATACTCGTATAGATCCTAATACTAAACTCTAACAAGAATAGGGGGACCCTCTCACAGATTCAGAAAATACAAAAGGCTTGTTAAAAAGTTAAATTATCTCAATGTCACTCATCCTAATATCTCATTTGCTATTGAGTGACATGAGACAATTTCTCAACTCTCCTTGTAAAGAACATTCAGATACAGTTGTTTGCATCATAAAACATATCAAGGGAGTTTCAGGAAAAAGTCTTTAATACGAAAACAAAGGACACACTTGAATTGTGGGATATTTAAATTTGGAGAAGGTAAGCTCTCTTGCAGATAGGATATCAACCTCTAGGTACTGTGTTTTTTCTTTTTTCTTTATTTCTTTTTTTTTTTTTTTTTTGCCTTTTCTAGATAATGTGTTTTCATTGGTGATAACTAGAGTTCTTAGAAAGTCAAGAAACAAAGTGTTGTTGCAAGATTAAGTCTACAAGCAGAGTATTGAATCATGGCCTTAACCACTTGTGAGCTTATATAGCCTCAAATAATTGTTTAAGGGAATTGAATTTTAGAGAGGTTACGCAAATGACCTTAATTTGTGATAACCAAATTGTTCTTCATATTGCCTCAAATCCAATCTTTCATGAAAGAACCAAGCACATGGAGATAGATTGTCATTTTATTAGAAAAAAGATCTTATCAAAAAATATTGCTACTCAATTTGTCAATTCCAACGATCAACTAATAGATGTCTTCATCAAGTCTCTAAGGGGTCTCATATTTGTTATATTTGTAACAAGCTTGATATATTTGTTAAGGGAGAGTATTGAGATTACTCTTATAGGATAATAGAATAATCTTGTCAATAAGATAACTATATAATTAGCAAGATTTTAGATAAATGTAAAATCATGTATTTTTTTAGCCTTGTTATTATAAATAGAGTTTTGTTCTGTATTTAAATACAGATTAATTTTGTGCCTTCTTGTTTCTCTTTCTTTCAACAAAGAACATATGCAACATGTGAAGCAAGTCCTATTTATTCTTCTAAACAATGAACAGAAATATAAATTCTTTACGAGGAAGGTGGAATACCTAGGACACTATATCTGTAGGAGCGTCCATAAACCCATCAAAGATACATGCAAGAAAGGATTGGCCTGAGCCACAATCTATCAAATCGTTGAGAAGCTTTTTGGCCTTGGCTGGATATTACAAAATATTTATTAGAGATTACAACATGATCGCTGCTCTAATAACTAATTTATTGAGGGAGGGAGCATTTAAATGGGATGATTCTACAAGGGATGTTTTCAATAAACTCAAGGAAGCTCTAACAAGTGCGTCGGTTTCGGCGGCTCTTCCTAATGTGCAGAAGCAATTTAAAGTAGTAACTGATGCTCCCAATACTGGTACTGGCATGGTACTAATGAAAGGAAAACACCCAATTGCAATTATAATAAGTAAGGTATTGTCTCCCAATAATAGGTAGTTGTCAGTATATGATAGGGAATTATTGGCATTAACCCATGCAGTATCTAAATGGCACCAATACTTGTCTATTCAACCCGTTATCACACTCAATGACCAGCACAGTTAGAAATTCCTCTTGGAGCAAAGATCGTCGACACCTGACTACTATAAATGGATATCTAAACTCATGGGAATGCAATTACGAAATCAGATAAAAGCAGGAAAGGGATAAAGTTGCAGCTGGCGCATTATCTAGAGCCACTCATGGACAGCTATTACAACGTGCAGTATACTGTGTCCACGGACTTGTGACAGAAAATTCAGCAAGCATATGCACAAGATGCCCCGTCGCAGCAACTCAAACAATAGCTAGAGAATGGTGAAGTAATGCATCAGAAATATAGTACCAGAGAAGGGACAGTATTGAGGAAAAATAAGATAATGATACCGAGAATGAAAAAGGTGAGAGATTTAATTTTACAGTGGCTACACTCTTCACATCAAGGCGGGCACTCTGGTATTAAAGCTAGCTTGCAGTTTATAACACAGATGCTTTATTGGAAGATGCTGAGGGATATTGAGACGTATAAGAGCAAAACATGTTTAGAGATGTGAGTATGCACCTGTGGCTTATCCCAGACTTTTGCAACCTCTACTGACTCCAAATGAATATGGCATAGCATTGCAACAGCTTTTTTTTTTCCTTTCTTTTTAAAATTAGTTTTCAAAAAAATATTTTATAATTTTTTAAAAAATAGAAAACAGAATGGGAATCAATCAAACAGGATCTAAAATGTTGACTCTTGGTTCCCTTTCCTCTCCTCTCTCTCTCTATCTCTCCTCTTCTACTCTACTTATTATCTTCTTTACCATTGTATTCTGAAAAATGTTACAATGAGAACAAATTAGTGAACCTGAGAGAGCCACCAGTGGAGTTAACGAGGAGCCTAATGTCCTTGGTGGGGTTTTGGGCATCCAAGAGGAGCAATTGGCTGATAATTGCATCTGCCACCAAGTCATCGATGCTGCTTCCCAAAAAGACGATCCTCTCCCTCAGCAAAAGCCCCATCACGTCCCCTTCAGCGCCTCTCATCGCAGTCGCCGGCGTCTGAGGGGCAGATAGCTCGAATCCCGAAACGGACCTTTGGGTTTTGAAGGGTTTGGGTGCGGTGGTGAGTGCGCAGGTGAGTGAGGATGTGGAGTAGTTGGAGGTGCAAGTTATAGGGATGGAGCATTGTGGTCTTGAAATCCGAGAGTGTGAGGGAATGCAAGTTGAAGGGTGCGACGGTGAGAGTGATAGCAAATCCATGGTATGAGGAAGACCCTCTTTTCCGCTGCTTCACAAGTATTCCCTCTTCTATCTCCTTTTTATGTTTTCCTATATTTTCCCATTGCTTTACTTTGTTCCTGTATTTGTTAAGTTACCTAATTTTATTATAATAATTTAAATTCTCGTCAAGAGAAACGTGATGAGTTAGAAATTATTTTGAGATTATTTTTTATTTATGCTTGTTTGTTTCATGTTTTATAGATTAAAACTATTTATAAAATATAAATCTAATATATTTTAAACGTTTTACAAAAAATAATTTTTATTTTCATAATTTATTTTTATTTTAATTATAAAAGATAATACTGCTAGTCCTATTTATAAAAAATAATTATAAATATTTTTATCTAAATATAAGAAACAAAGATATTTCCTTAATATATTAATTGTTAAATTCTTTTTATATCTTTATTTATTAGAAGATTTGTGTTAATGAATTATTTATCTTTTATCTATACAAGTGAATACATTTAATTATTTAATATATGGTAGACTAATTTGAATAATTTTAACTGTGTCTACTTTTCATTAGGCTTATGAATTAGGTACTTATTGTTTATTAATAGAACTGAAAGTAGTAACTTTAAAGAAAATTATTTTTTAATATTATTTGTACATAAATGATTTTAGTATTTTTTATATTTTAAATATTTATATATTTTATTGAAAAAATTAGATAATTAAAGTAATAATTAATTTTAAAAATTTATATGTATGTTGTTAAAAGAGCATTTTTACTATGTTAATAAAATATATTGTCTAATTACTTTTTATTTATTTCAAACAATAAATAAGATAATATAATATTATATATTTTACTATCTCAATTATATGATATTTTTTATCAAATTTTAACATCCTATTCTTTCATGTTCAGTCATATTCATTAAACAAGTTTTTAAACACTCATTTAAAAGTTTAAATCTTTTGTATACATATAAGATGTTAGTCATAATTAGTTAACAATCACTTGTAGGCATAATAATACCTAATTGTATCACTACTTTAAATTTTACCAATAATATATTATCAATTTCTCATTGCTATTTTATTTTGGAATAACCATGTCTTTTAACATTAAAAGGATTTTAACATAGAATCAAATCATCACATCCTTTCAAGCCTCTCCTTGAGAAAAAGATTTTAATTATTAGACACTGAGGTTTATTAGCCTTTTTTTTTTTTCTTTGGCATTTCTTAATATTTTTAAATCACATTTTTCTTTTATTTTGTCTATCTAGTTTTCTCTTACTACCTCATTGATGAAGAGTCTTTTTTTTTTTTTTTATCTCCCTTCTTCTTCATTGTCTTCTTATTTGATTGACTATGAAGGTAGGAGATTTAACTCTATAAATTATAAAATGAAGGTCTATGTATCATTAATTTAATATTGGCTATGTTGGAAAAATACATCACCTCAAATTAATAATGAATAGATCTTAAATTTCTTGCTTACACATTTTCTTATTTTAGAGGAATTAAATCCATCAGTAAGAAACTACAAACAAAGTTGATTATTCCCCTACAACTACTTAACTCTTGCAACTCATGAAGATGAAATGTTCTATTTTTCTTGTTTTTGTCCAAACCATAAAGTCATGTTAAATGGTTTTGAAATTTTACAAAAAATAATAATAATTTTGAATGTAATTCCTTAGAAAAAGTTTCTTAGGATAATTTTTAGAATTTTATTCCATATCTAGTTTGGAAATGAAATACTTTAATTTTCATCCATTTTATGCTATCTATGTAGTGTAAATATGAAAATTTAGAACAATTTCTAGAGACTAAAAAAGTTTAAGAAAAATTCTTTTAATATAAAAATAATATTAGGATGATAAAAATATTTTTTTTAAATTTTATGAGTTATATTTTCATTTTTTGTATAATTAGTTGATTATATAAACAATATAATTACCAAGTTATCTGGTTTATTATTGAGTAAAGTCTAATTGAATTTTAAAAATATTTTTCTAACCAAATCCAATATTATTTTATTGTTAAAAAATATTTTTAATTAGATGAGGAGAAGAGAATCGTCACTATTTTGATTGGTAAGGAGGATGAAATATTTTTTTCACAAATAATAATATCACACAATAATCATACTTCTGTAATACTTAGTCATAATAAATCTCCCCGGTGAAGTTGTAGATTTCTTCTTGTATTTTTGAGATTTTGAGCTGCATGAAAAAAATGCTCTTTGATTTTTGTCTAGACTTCTAAGGTCTTATTATTGGAATAAATTGAGTTGAATCTAATTATATGAATTTAGAATACCAATTGTGAAGCGGTGGTAAAGTTGTTTACTTATTGTAGATATTATGAATTATATCATAAACGATCTACGTGACGTGCGAATTCTTTTGTGAGTGAAAAACCAAGATATTCCCTTGCCTAATCACTCTTCTAATCCTAGGTTCTCAATAGGGCAAATCTAGAGAGTAGTGGAATGTGTTTTTTCGTGATGGCAAAGGAGACTTAGTCATCGTATTTATTAACTCTAGACATTTCTCATCATAAACCTAGAAGTTAGGCTCACACTATATTCCACATAGATCAATATTAAGTGTCCAAGGCTCATAAGTAATTGATCATATTATTAATAGGCTTAAACATCATTAAATGGATCACAATATTAGTCCGTTTTTAACAAAATAAAAATTACAATTGATTGTAGCCCATAACAAATTTTATAGAAAATTTTAACATCTCACTTGGGCAAAATCAATTGTGTAGTTCATAGCTTTTGAAAACTTGAAAAATAACTCTCGGGCTAATAACATGTTGTGGCCACAAATATATGATCCTAAGATGCAACACTTAATTAAGACTTCATCCAATAAAATCATGCAATATCGAATCATGGCGGTAATTATATCCCTTACTGACTTAACTCCTTCCATGGTTACAAATACTGTCAACTTTATTGACTAGTCATTAATGAAGAGTGCAGCAAGAAAATGACATGCCAATATGATCAAACAGCCATACTATCATTTTTCACATTAGTCCTTAATTTCTCTCGAGTGCTTAAAAGCTAAAGAAATTACATCGTTCATTACGAATTTTTATGCCTCAGCTCCAACTAGCATCAACCACTGGCATAGTGGTCTCAATGACACCAAGCTCAATATTTGGTCATAATACCTCAGCTTCAACTAGCATCAACCACCGGTATAGTGGTCTTAATGATACCGAGCTTAAAATTTGATCATGCCTAAACTTCAATACAGTGTTAATCACAAGCACAATGACTCTAGCAACATTGAGTTTTATATTTGGCAATCGATATAACAAATATGCTTATATATACAAAGATGTATAAAAGATGTATTATCAATTGCTCAAATAAAATAAAATACATGTCAACCAAACACAAAAGGTGTTCAAAATAAAAGGTCCAACATGATAAGAAAATGACATAAGAGATAAATTTCCACTAACTAAGTATATTAAAAGAATTCATAATTTTATGTTCTTAACATATACCTTTTCAAATATAATATGCCTTAATTTCTTAATTGAAGAATCATCTGTTAGATTTTTTAACATTAATATTAATATTTATTGAATCATCTGTTAGATTTTTTAACATTAATATTAATATTTATACTAATTTGTGGATTAACATTATTAAATTATTATGGTTATATTGTTATTAATTATGACGTAAAATAAATGTGTATAATAATAATAATTATTATTATATAAATTTTGTAATTAGGCTCTTAGGGTGAATAGTCTGTGATGGGTTGGACTATTCTATGTGTCCAGTGAGAGGTTCATGCTCTCATCTGATTAGACTTATATAACTGCTGTCCCATTAGACAGTTACTAGAGTGAAATAATAACAATCAGATAAGAGAGTAGTACACGCTCACTCGAAAACAATGATTGCTTATGACTCATATGTTCTCATCAGGATTGCTTATGACTCGTGGATTCTTATCAGGTACGCGTTTAACGCAATTATTCAATTACATATAGTTGGAATTGTATTGAGATGTTATGATGTGTATTATATATAATTATGTTATCTTTAATTTTATATCTTAAATTCCTGCAAGTGGTATCAGAGCCAACTTAATACACATCGTAATTTTTCAACTTTGAGCAGCCAAAATGCTATAATTTTATGTATGGATTTGGAAAATAATTTAGGTTTTTTGTTCTTCTTATATTCATAAATATCATATCCAAAAATTGTTAATTTTCATCGGGTATGTTAAGAGAATTTCATAGTTTATTAATTTTTAAAATTATAAACCCTAAAATCATTTTCTTTCAAATTCTCTCAAAAGGACAAAGGTTTATTTAAAAAATTGATTAAGGGCTTTTGTTAATAAATTAAACACGAACATAATCTAATAATTAATTCATTATTTTGTTCAATTTAGATTGAGAATTTATTCTTTCTTTGATTTTGCGTTTGTCATGCCTTATTTTTGTTGTACACATCACAAAGAACGTAGTGGAACCTACTCGTTGAAAGAAACTATTTGGGTTTCTTGAATTCTCACGTACTTTGAATTCTCCATGGCTGCGCGGGTTTTATCCTTTGAAACTCTCTTTTGTTGTTCAAAATACACCCTTTGTAACAATATGAATTAGTGCTTTAGAATGCAAGATTGAACTGGGTCGAGTTTCTGAATTTGTTGGACCCGTTTTGCAGCTGATGGTTTTTTTTAAGTGTAAGAAGGCCACTCGCGTGGCTGAGAGAGCATCGAGTGGAGGATTATTTTGATATTAAATTTTTTGGACAATTTTTATAGTTTTTTGGGCACTGTAAATATTTTTTAATTAATTAACTCGTGCCTAAATTAATTAAATAATTATTGTATTGATGGAATATGATCCAATTCTTTTATATACATGATTATACTAATATTTGATATTTATAACATTTTTTTTATACTATTCACTCTCTTTTTGAATGTCATATATGTTAAAAAAAAAATAATAATAATAATAATAATAATAATAATAATTTATTTTTATATAAATTATTTGATGTAATTTTGGTATAATTATGATTTCATGCATAATATACA